TGTTAACCGAATCTCAAATATTTTAGCCAACGCAGTCTGCTTTTCCTTTCCAATCAGTACTTGAAACACTCAGTGAGTCATGAAAAAAGGAAATTCCACTTCATCCATTCATGTTCGGCTAAAGGATATTACAGGACTGTTACTAGCTCAGTTCTCGAGCACTTGGTGAACTCAAGTGAAGCAGCTCCACCAGAGTGTTCTTTCAAGAATATCTTTTGATACAAGGGCGTCAGGTCTCGGCGCTTGTGTATGGCGAAGGCTTCAGCAGTTCCTCAATACAACTTCAAAGTCTGTATACAGAAAAGTTTGTCCAGTCTCATCCTAGCATGGTCTTAGCCTATTCATTGGTCGTTCCCTGTAAATGTTTTATTTCTGGTGTTTACTGCGCTTTCAATTTAGTGATTAATTCACTATTATCACTCTAACATGTTCCTTTTCTACGTTTTCTCACCCTCTCAACACTCGTTGAATGGGCACTCAATAACTTTTCTTCTCACTCAATAGCGATTCTAAAATTATCGAATTCTTTATGCTTTATTTCTTTCTTCCATTGAGGATTACGTAATTTACAACTGTTATGTTTACATTTGGGGCCACTTCAATTTGTTAATATCAGGTGTATCACCCCTATTACTCGACAGTGGACTACTGTGCATTTCTGGTAAATGTAAATACTACTGTATAGCCTCTGAAAATGGTTTTTTCAATAAATATAACCACTTATCTGTTACCGTTACTTGAATATCACAAAGGGTTTTTGAAGTAATGCATTTAGACATCAGTTATTATGCACACGTTCAAGGAATTCGAAACTGAAGTACTTGTTTTAGCAACCCGTAGGTTATTATTTCGTTTTCATCAAAATTTAATTGATGATTCAAATAATTTGCTTGAATGAATTGGTCATGATGAACGTATTTTGAAACATCACTATTTCCCCTGATTCAATACTTGTAGTTTTGCTGATTTTATGAAGTGAAATGTATTTTACTACAACTTTCTCCCCTATGTGGGACATTTCTAGCTGTGTAGTTCTTCATAACATATAATAACATTATGATGTTCATGACTTTACACCGACACTTAGCATAAACGGAAGACCAATTTCCAACCTCAGATTTGCTGATGATATAGCCCTCATTGGGGAAAACATTGATCAAGTTCAGGACCTCACCTCAAGACTTGATGTTGCAACCAAATCTGTGGGCATGGAAATCAGCACAGAAAAAAGCAAAATACTCATTAACGGAGGAAACAACTCAGATAGATGTATCAGACTTGATGGACATGAATTAGAAGAGGTTGAAACTTTCAAATACCTTGGGTCTACCCTAACAAAAGATGGAAGGTCCACTAAGGAAATAAAAATTCGACTAAACCTAGCCTCTGCCACCATGTCCAAGTTAGGGAAAATATGGAAGAGCAACATCAGCGTCTCAGCAAAAATGAAACTCTACTCGTCACTGGTCCTCTCTGTATTCCTATATGGATGTGAGCGGGACCCTGAATGCAGAGACAGAAAGAAGAATACAAGCCTTCGAAAACAAAAGCTATAGAAGGATCCTAGGAATAAGTTACCTTGAAAGGAAAACTAATGAATATGTCTTACACCAGGTCCATAGACTGGCAGGAAAACAGGAACCACTCCTTTCAATCGTAAAGAAACGGAAACTACAATGGTTCGGCCACACGGTAAGACATGACACATTGTCCAAAACGATTCTACAAGGCACAGTAGGAGGAGCACGGAAGAGAGGTCGACCGAATAAGAGCTGGCTTGAAAACATAAAAGAGTGGATTGAAATGCCCTTGGATACGCTACAGAAAATAGCATTAAACCGAGAAGAATGGCGAAGACTGATAGCACGAACTGTCATAGCACCCCCACGACGAAATTCAAGGGACTGATGATGATGATGTTCAATGCCTGATGAGTGTCTGAGTAAATTTAGGCGACAGCCCGAAGTTTCTTGCCAAATACACATGCCCGGATTTTTGTAACATCCATGGGTATAAAAATAATCCGCAGCTTGACTAATCCAGGGAGTAATTGTTTTAGGAAACGACACTGCTGTAAAAGCAACCGCATATTTCCTAATATATTTCTTCTTCACCGAAAATTATGAATTCACAAGATTAATGGTGATTTTACTTTATTGCCGGATAAGATATTTACTACGCCATCTAAATCGTATGCAGAATTTTTTCGTAGCTAAATTAAGCCGATTTTACTACACCCCACATTGCAGCCACTTTCTTGCCACAGTATATACATTAACTGATATTAAAAACTAGCTCAGCGCCATGCGAAATGTTAAGACGAAGAGTATCGAGGATAGATATGAAGAAAAAAAGTTGAGAACTATGGTGGAGTCTTATTCTATTATGGATAAAATTCATTTTCATAAAGTTACACGGTAATATTTGCAATTAATATTATAGCATAACACTGTGTGATTTTATCAAAATAAACATGAACAGCCATATTGTCACACAGTGTAACTTCTGCAGATATATTACGCTGTGAGAAATAGAACGGTGGCGTATCACTCCTTAAAATATACTACCCAATGTACGCCAACATTATATATAAATATCAACGGAATATAAATGATGTCCCTCCACATGACGTGCAATGAATCCGCTTTGTTTTATTTGAAAGTTTGATGTGAAACAGTAGTAAGAGTAATTTTATAATTCCGGAACATACCACAGATACAAACGAGCCAGTATACACCAAATTCTGAGTATTTGCTTGATTCAGGTGAAATTTTCTGCAATGTTTTTCATTTAGTTTCCTAAAACATTTCGCTGAGGCATACTACTGAATATGTCAGTTTACTGTATTTGGGTGCCAGCATCAGCAAATAAAGTCTACGAATCTGAATTCTTACCATCAATACATGAATACGCAATGTAGGCAGTGGAAACCTATAATGAAAGAAGATGAAATCCAACAAGACCAACTCTACCCGCAGCTCCAACCTTGTGTCTAATCAGGTAGAACAAGAAGTCTTCTCAGAAGAATTTATGCGCGTACGTCTAAGTACAAAAATTCCACTATACCATATTTAGCACGTACTTTATGTGATGAAAGTGTCAGACATGAACTAACTAACTTTGTTTGCAATACTAAATAAACCATTTCCTTTACTCTTAAAGCATCATTCTTTATTGTTATTGTATTTCTTATATTTATAATCCTCTCAATTTTTTCGTTTTGTTCATTTTTTTCATAAGTGTGAACATAATTTTAAGCTGTATTATAACTTTTAATTTTGTATTTCCCCTCACTATACTATATCAACAGAACATTAGACCCAATAATCTATAACATGCTAAAGTTCCCAAACTGAATCGACAATACTGTTTGAAACAAACTCACTGTTATTATTATTATTATTATATCTAATAATTATGTCGTAAATGTGGACAAATTCCTCCGATTAATTTTTTAGTTTTAATTTTATATACACTTTGAGTAAATCAGATGCAATATTGTGAAAAATGCTGAGAATTCCATTCTGTATTATAAGTACTGTTTTTGGAATAAAGTAAATTATTATTATTATATTATAAAAAATAGCCAAGATATTATAGTGATCTGTCCAGGTGAAGGATGGAGGATAGCTAATTTTCTATATCTAACAAATAAAATAATAAAATTTGTAACACTCTCTGTGATGACGATGGTTGCATAAAATCAGCCTACCAGAAAGACAGGGACATGAGTAATTAGAGCAAAATATCTAAATCTCTGATGACATTGAAGGATGAGTCTTCCAATTTCACCTGCATCTATGAATATTGTACGGCGTTCTTTTTTAAGCATTCCTTGTTTATAAGCTTTTGTAGTACACGCGAAGATAGTGTCCCTATGCAATCTTTGTTAGACATGCGGAACTCACCTCACCACCAGATGTTGAAATGGCTTGCTGAAATCCGTGAGCCAGAGTCATCTAGTCTGTATAGCCATAGTACTCTGAATGACTTGAACTTCGTCATTTACACTGTTGGAAGCGAATGACTTTGCTGGGTGATTGTTTTCTTTTCACAACAGTAGCGTAAATACATGGGAAAAATTACTATAGGGTATTCATGATGCTACCTACACAGCCATTAAATATAATGGCTGGTTCAGATCACACTTCTCCCACTGAGTAGTTGACTTATTTTTCTAAATTTCCAACGAAGCATCATTTCAGATATGTTGGTCTAGTAGTCCTGAAAAGTTTGCTAGGCATATACAGATATTCATATTGGTTGAAAATAAAGCAAATGAAAATAAGACTTGTGAATTCGACCACCATTCTCAATTTTGATTCCATTATTTCAGTATCCTCCTAACTTCGCTCCTAACAGTTTCTTATACCACTACACAACTCGTTCATCTTCTCAATGCTATCAATTATACCGTTGTGTACAACCAACATTCCTATATTTATTAGTGCAACTATACACATGTCTAATACGTCACTGTATTTGGTAAACCTCTGCTTCACTTATGTGGATACTATTACAGTAGTAGTAGTGATATTTTCAGCATAGATATATGAATTTGATTCGGTTGTCATTGTTTCTTCTACAGTGATGACAACAAACAGCTAAGCTGAGGATTATTCGATCTGGTTCATAGTGAGATGTGAAATGAGTCCTCAGTCTGGCTGCAAACATGTTTGAAGTGAATCTCAGTGTCTCTATGTATAATATAATATAAAATATTATATATATTTCAACAGGTTAAGCCTCATCACCTGATTTTCATTTGAATGCATTTGAGAAATAAATTTAGAGATATAATGATTTACTTTGTGGCGTTTGTATGTTAACTGGTGTTCTAAATTCTCTAGTTATTGTTCTATGAGACGAAATAAAAGTGGTGTCGACATGTAGTGTATTGTGACTAGTTCTCGTGTGACTACCTTCTGATTGTCTATTGCTTTATTATGTAATACATTGGTTTGATTACTAATGTTGCGTAAATATTTGAATAATTTCAGGTAAATGCCCACAGGAAGTCAAGCTACGTGTTTGCTATGAAACGAAAGTCCGTTATTACTATGATTCAAAACAGAACAAATGTTTGCAATATGGTTTACGCGAGTGTGCAGCCAATACGAATTCTTTCAACAGTAGAAGAATGTGCTTGGCGCAGTGTGTAAAGTAGGTTCCCTATTATGTATTTCTAATACTGAGGTATTCACTTCACTGTATAAATACTACTTTACACTTTATTTCCCTAATGCATACATTACTTGTACTTAAGATTCAATGCAAGCACTACGCGAAAGCGATTGAAAAACGGTGTTTTATAAATAGTGTTTAACAGATGCTCAGATAAATCGTGAATAATTAGGACAAATGTCTGGTCGCAAAAATCCTCATGATCATCATGTAAAGACTGAACAAGTGAATCACTTTATAAGCCTCATGTTGATTAACACGATCTGGAACAACTACACACGAAATGAAATCCGTGGTCACAAGTGTAAGACTTAGGCGCTGTGGTAGTATGTAATTCCATCCTAATTTGTTTATTGTATATATCATACAATAAAACAGTAGAAGTATCTACTGGATGACATTATCAACACAGTTTATTTTTCACAATCATACCAGTTAGCATATCAATTGAAACTCAAGTTTTGAAGTCGTTTGATTATAAATGATATGATTATGGACAGATCAAATTGAAGTTTGCGCTGAAAACGTTGTCTAGTTGGTCAACGACAACTTTGCATATAAACGATTCAGCTCAGCGAACACAACTACATCAAAAGCGAGTAGTACTGTTTCACTGTATAACATATCTAATTAACAAATTAACATGGCCCAGAGTCGTAAGGCTTGCATAATACGTTAATAATATATCGGATTTTAATGGCTAAAACTATCTGCCAAAACAGCAACAGTGAAGCGATATATGTGTTAAGTCTAAGAATAGGTAAGATATATATCTTCTACATTTGAATCATAGAGTCTTGAACACAACAATGTAAGGTTATCAGAATAAAACGAAAAAACTTGATTGATACAGTGTTGCTTGTGTAGTTACAATAAAAACAAGTGGAACAATTGCTGCACCCGTGCTCTATTATATTAATTGATCATTGAACCGACACAAGGTGACGAAGACAGTCAGGCCTATTATATACCTTTGTTTTGAATGATCGAAATTATATTTTTCCAAATAACGTGGTTAGCTGCGATTTGTAGGAACGCAACCTTAAGCATAAATTCGGATATATTTGTTAGCCAGTTATTCGAACCACAATTAACAAATCCAATCATCAACACAAACACTGAGAATGAAGCAAGCTGAATTAGAGCCAGTCTCCTGGAATCTCTGTGATCTAATTGAAGGCAACAGGAATCAAAGTCGACAGGTATAAGTTGAAAGGCATAAGGCGATATCTTTGGAATGTACAGGTATTTATATAAGGACATGTTGAAGCAGATGATGAAAGGACCTCTCTGTTTCCATGTAACTTTTATTCGTTTAACGAAAAAGTCATGGTTTTAGATGATTTGAATTCAAAATATAACTGCTAAATTTTCCTTTAATTGAGATGAATCTCCCGTCAGAATTTCATTTGCAAATCCCAAAGAACCTAATTTATAATTCAGTTTTGTAATGTTTCCAATTGCAAAATACAATTGATTTTATTAAATTGCAATTATCACTTCAATAATGAACAAAAAATGAAACGAAATTCAATTATAGACGCTTTTCTAGAATATTCATTACTAAACGAATAAATTTCACAATCAACTTACTAGGAAAAATCCAATAATTACTACAAGAGGTAAGTAATGTCATGAATAAAATAATAATAACATAAAAAAATGAACACAGAAAAAAGGCCGACTAAAAAAATGTAAAAAACGATAAAAATAAATTAAAATACGAAAAAAAGTAAAAGGAGAAATGGAAAGAAAATAATTGAACAAAAACAGATAAAAGATAGCCAACATGCAAAAACCAAAAATAAAATAAAAATAATTTATGAAAAAAATAAGAATGCAAGAATATCCAGGAAATGATGCATAAAGGAATGCTCCGAAATCCTCGTAAGGTGTCCACAAAGTAAGACGATTTATTTTGTGACATGGATTTGATACGCTGGTGTGCACTATCAGTCAGTTTCATATGCAATGCATTATTAATTAAACTCCCCTCTCATCAACTTCAACGACGGCTGAAACAAACCGGTTGAAAATTCTCCTACGAATTAGTTTAAAGTCAGTTTGTCAACTGAGATCATATTCACTATGTGAGGTGAATACAACTAAATTAAATGTAAAATGAAACATTTTGTCCATTTATGTATTTCCACTGTTACTGACTATTGATGATATGCATATCATTTCCTATTGAGCCATCAGGAATCATCAACTGATATGAATCCTAATTTTCAAAACTAATGTTGCCGTCCATAGCTATATATTTTATCCTCATTATCAAATATCATGCTAATTGATCGTCTTTCAAAATGTCACAAAAGTAGATGAGCATATTTCATGTTATTCGTATGAAATAAATACCAATATAATTATATTTGTAACAACTACGGTTTAGCTACATCCACAAGTGAGTTCATGTAATCCTTGCGTTGATTTTCTCAAACTAGTATGACATCTTCTCACTCTCAGGTATTGATAACGAAATCAAGCGAACGGACATGGTTATCTGTATCGTCTAACTATCTTATGGTAGTAATCTCTGTCCGTCTCATCTTCAGCATCCTTTAAAGTCACGATATATGGGTGCACTTGGTACTTTTATCTTTTCATGATATTCCATTTTCGTTATCTTATAAATTTCAAAGTTTATTCCGCTTGTCAAAGTAATATTTCAATTTTATTCTGCCAGTAGCTGTTCGCTCACTACAGGAAATCAATTTTCATATAAACTAATTTAGAAAAGCAAACTAAAAATAATTATTCGTATAGCTGCAAAATGTGATGAACGGAATGACAACAAAGAGAGAAAGATCACAAACACACACACAGACAAATAACACGAAGAAACTGAAGACTGAGGGAACTTACCGAACTAGGTCCACGATAGTTGTTAAGGTTGGACTAGTTTCTGTTGAACACATAGCTCCGGTTTCCGATGCATATGGCGAGAGCTTCTGCAGTACAAAGCAGTTGGAATCACACTGTCTCTGGTAGAGTTTTGTTTACTTTGTAAATGACTCTGAAAGATAAGTCAGATGAGATGCTGTAACAGGTATTGACGAGGTGTTACGTTGTGGCGCTTTAAACTGAACCAGTACCTCCTCTTTGCAGCCATGCTGGATGATGTCCTCGAACACGTTTTGATAATAACCAAATAGAAGGACCTATGTGCATGGCTCCGCACAATCAGGTGAACTGATATATGCCCATTTAAGTGGTAATATGTGGAAGTCTGTCCTCTCCGTTGCTCTGAAGTAGTGAGCGACTAGAGGATATCACTCTTGGAGTGACTGTGGGAAAAGTTTCTTCAGAGAATTGCAGATCCACCTTTCAAGGATATCTGCTGCTTGGTCTCCCCTGAATTCCAGTTTCAAATAAAGTATTTTCTTTGGCACTGAAGTGCATTGCATCCTTTCTGGTTTTGGTTTCATTTTCTTTTCCAAGAAACGCGTCGTTATCTCATATCCGTCTTGAACCAGGATGCTTTTGAGAAATAGGAGCTCTTCTTCCAAACAGTCATCGCTACAAATTCTTATGGTGCGGTGGGCTAGCCAGACGATGAGACTTCTTTTCCATCCGATAGGCATCCAACTGAAGAGGTTTGTCAGTTGGCCATTCCACGTTGGTTTTCTATGGATAGATCTTTTCAGAGTTCCGTCATCGCTTCTTGTCAATTCGACGTCCAGGAATGGAATCTTTGATTCATTTTCGACTTCCTTTGTGAATTTAATTGAAAGATGGCAGTTCCTGAACTCCTGTGAGATACAATTTAAATAGGAATCATCCTGACAAACTATAAAAGTGTCATGGACGTATCTTTTGTACAGCAGTAATTTGTCCGTTGTTGATTTTAAGATGCCGTTTTCCAGGCTGGCCATGAAGCAGTCTGCTAAAAGTGGGCCACCTTTATTTCGCCTTTAAAACTATTTCTCCGGTTATCAAATATGAGTTTCGCATACGTTCTAACTGTTTTCTAATCCTATGTCATCTAGTCTCTAATCTCCTTGTAATCTATATTCGTACATTCACACTTAGACATAAAGTTGAAAATTACCTCCTATGTTACTATGTGGAATTAAATAAACAATAATTGTGTGCATGTGAACTAATGTATATAAATGCGATTGTACAGCTTCTGAGAATGAAATCGGTGAAAAGATATCTTCGGCAAATTTCATATTCTTCTGCCTTGAATGTGTATTCTTGTTAATAAGCAAAGATATCATAAAGCTGCAAGCACTTCCAGGAAATGATGCATATAGGAATGCTCCGAAATCCTCGTAAGGTGTCCACGAAGTGGGACGATTTATTTTGTGACATGGATTTGATACGCTGGTGTGCACTATCAGTCAGTTTCATATGCAATGCATTATTAATTAAACTCCCCTCTCATCAACTTCAACGACGGCTGAAACAAACCGGTTGAAAATTCTCCTACGAATTAGTTTAAAGTCAGTTTGTCAACTGAGATCATATTCACTATGTGAAGTGAATACAAATAAATTAAATGTAAAATGAAACACTTTGTCCACTTACGTATTTCCACTGTTACTGACTATTGATGATATGCATATCATTTCCTATTGAGCCATCAGGAATCATCAACTGATATGAATCCTGATTTTCAAAACTAATGTTGCCGTCCATAGCTATATATTTTATCCTCATTATCAAATATCATGCTAATTGATCGTCTTTCAAAATGTCACAAAAGTAGATGAGCATATTTCATGTTATTCGTATGAAATAAATACCAGTATAATTATATTTGTAACAACTACGGTTTAGCTACATCCACAAGTGAGTTCATGTAATCCTTGCGTTGATTTTCTCAAACTAGTATGACATCTTCTCACTCTCAGGTATTGATAACGAAATCAAGCGAACGGACATGGTTATCTGTATCGTCTAACTATCTTATGGTAGTAATCTCTGTCCGTCTCATCTTCAGCATCCTTTAAAGTCACGATATATGGGTGCACT